CAGGGTATTACTTTACACCTGCTGAGCTGCTGGACGTTTTTACACATCCTCCTCCTTAAATCGATGGTTGATTTCCTCACAAAGAGATCCTCCCTTTCCTGCTCACCAAAAAATTGTAAGGTCATCGTAGAGTTAAATAAATACATAACTATTAAGTCGTTCTTCACTAAAAAAAAAATTAGTTTAATTCTCACGTCTTTGGTTATGTCACCAAACCAAAGTTGCCGTGCATGGCTAGGAATGGTAAACACACGTTCAGAGCTGTGTCATGTGTTTCGGCATCACTTTCAGAACTCGTAATCAAAACAATGGACAACACGTGTCAGGGAGCTGCTGCAAATTATAGAGTATGTAAGGGAAAGGCAAATTTGAGACTAGGAACAGCAGAGAGACCTTACGGTCAGGCTAGATTAAAGGTGGAAGATGGAGAAAATCTATACAGGACAAGGCAAAGTGTTGGTTGTAAGAATTGAGAATAAACGAGCTACGATGTGGGACAAAGATCTAACAGATGTCTGCACAGATGTCACACCCTGATTATGTTACTTTCTGAATGTATCAGTTTGGTGAAGTTCCTACAGGAGTCTGCAAATTCATTTTTCTCATTTAAACATAAAAAAAAATCTACAGTGTCTTGGAATTTTTGAAAAGTGCTTTTAAAATAGGTCATATTATTTACTTCTAAAAGGTCAAAGGTCAATATCACTGCTAAACTAAACTAACTACACTCAACTTTAATAATACCTTTGCCTATTAAATTTAAATTTAATAAGTTTATTTAAGTTTTTTTTCAAATCTGCCTTTTCTATTTATTCCCAAGCCTTTTTTTTAAAATCTGCCTTTTCTATTTATTCCCAAGTGATAATATTTTTTTCTCAACTGAGTCTCTCCACACTTCTCTATCTTACCTCTCCATCTCCTTTCCTCTGAAACCTCTAACAACATAATGAACCCCATTCAGTCGCACTAATTGTTTTAAAAACTCCCATGTGTTCTCATGCAACAGGAACAATTCAAGTTGTCACTAGTGACAAAAGGAGCCTCTTATTTTAGCAAGAGCCAAACAAATGACTGTGTAAACCATCACACCATCTCTTCATTCAAATGTAGAGGGGGGCGTTCTGCATGTGATCTTTTATCTCTGTCCCTGGTGAAATTCAAATCACTTAAATTGGTCTGTGATAGTTCAGCTTGGTAGAGTCCAGATCTATTGAAAGAAATAATTATTTCTTTTAAATTAAAACCACAGGGATCAAAGCACATTAAAACGAGTGGTTTTATCTTACACTGTGTGTCATATATTTGTTTTTGTTTGTACTGGATACGTAAAGACCCGTAGACAGGAATCGAATGTGCAGATTACCAGATGTGGACATTGGCGAGAAACACCTCAATGCCTGCAGTGAAGATTACTGATGGTCGGATGGAGCAGAGTGTTAACGCCCACGTTTGTGTATGGGTGTTGTAAATTATCCCGTATGTACCTGAAGGACACTTGTTACCGTACACTTGCTTGCTCTTTTGCAACTTTTTAAATACAAGCACAAACAGAATGTTTAACTATTTGTAATGGGAAAGTAAATATGGCCATTGGTAATAAACAGTGTTTTCTTCTTTGTGGTTACATTAAAAAGCATTAGTTTTTTTTCTAATAGGCAAATTAAAGTTAGTCTCAACCCTGTAATATACATGCAGTATATCCACTATTTTACCACTGTCTGTCCTCATT